ACACGAGAACTTCCCGGGAGGTCACCCATCCTTGTACCACACTCGCCCAAACACGCTTCACTACGAATTTCTTATGGGATCCATTGCATTAGTGCTGGCTGTTAGGACCGTCGACACACCCCACGACGAGGCGGAAACAAAACTCGACGGTCTCACGAGTGATCCAAGTACGTAAAATCGAAATTGGGAGGATATGATGCAAATAATTTCAATGGGTTCCTTGAAAAAAAGCAAATGCAGCAGCGAGAAGTGGTGATCACAAACGGTTCGAATCTTAAGCCTCCACGAAAACATATCTCGAGCTCTACTTAGTTCACCCGATTGAGATCAAAATTTTATTTTCCCGAAAACAGTTTTGAGAGTTAACGGCTGAAGTAAAAATAGCTGCTAGACCTTACCTCCTTTAAATATATCAATTACCCTAACATCTTAGGGTTTTTAAAGTGATTTCAAATTGATAAATAAAATATTATTTAATTAATTCAAAATAAATATATAATATGAATTACAATATTTAATGTTTATTTAAAAACTTATTTAATTATTCCGAATTATATATCAATTAAAAGAGTTGTAATCTAAATTACATTCTTTTAATGATTACTTACTATATTCGGGATAATTAAAATCATATGTATATCAAATATACATATCTTAACTCTAGATATATTTTAGTAACATACAACAAATTGTACATCTTTGCTCATTTCAATCATAGGGTGTGACCCTGTAGGTTCTTGTAACATTAGTAGTAACTATTAGAACAATTCTAATATTACATACAATGAGTGACATCTAGCAATATATCAGTGACACCTAAGTTACAAGAAATTATGATTCGACATATCATTTTCGTGATTAACTCTTTTATGTATTACGTCATTTTCTCCTTTATATCTAGAATAGGCACAAGTCTTAGAATAATCACACTTGTAGCCCATCTATTGTTTCTTGATATCTAGAGTAGACTATAATTAACGAATAAGTTTTTGATATCACATATCAACTTATTCGAGCATGGCCATTTATTTCTAGTCTCACTCAATCAAGTGGCCTGTGATATATATCCTATTATGTAGGCATTACAAATCCTATCTTAACCATATACACCCCACTACATATATCGAGATATATTCAATAACAGTCTTTATAGTGCAACCAGTTATGGAGCATGTTTAACTGTATCAAAAACATACAACAATATATGTTGGGATGACATTGATCTCAAGTCTGAGGATCATACATATAGCCATCACCATGAGCAATGTTATGACTATTACATAATAATCCAAGACATATGCTCATGATGGATCAGTCCAATATATTGTTCTCTAACAATTAATCATGTATCAATTCTGACAACTCCTTGTCATCAATCAATAACATGTTAGTCTTAAGCGTATTATTATTGACCATGCCCATAATAATACTTGACTATGGATCTTTTAATAACGTTATTATATGGACTTTATTTTCTTTCAGTTTATGTTAAACACATACATATAACTAAAAATAATATTGGTAGTACCTTTATCCAAAAAAATTGGTAAATAAATGTATTATTACAATCATCATATGATTGATCTTTGGGAATACTCTAACAATCTTCCACTAGCAGTAATACCAATCACTCACTTATCTAATACCTAGTGACTCAGTGTGACGATCATGCCTATGTTGTGTAAGAGGCTTTGTTAAGGGATCAGCAATGTTGTCATCCGTGTGTACTCTATATATTTCCACACATCTCCTCGATCTATGATCTCTCGAATGAGATGAAAGTGCCTAAGAATATGTTTGGATCGTTGATGAGACCTGGGTTCCTTTGCTTTTGCAATGGCTCCATTATTGTCACAACGAAGTCCTACATCATCTGATATGTTGGGAACAACCCCTAATTCCAATATGAACTTCTTGATCCAAATAACCTCTTTTGTTGCTTCACTAGCTGCAATGTATTTAGCCTCTGTTGTAGAATTATCTATTGTGTCTTGCTTCAAACTTTTCCAGCTCACAGCACCTCCATTAAGACAAAACACAAAACCCGAATACGATTGTGAGTCATCCTTGTCAGTTTGGAAGCTGTCATCAGTATAACCTTTTACACTAAGCTCTTCCTCCCTTCCATAGACAAGAAATTTATCCTTAGTTCTTCTTAAGTACTTAAGGATATTTTTAACCGCAACCCAGTGATTTTCACCAGGGTTTGCCTGATACTGACTCGTCAAACTTAAAGCATACGATACATCTAGTCGAGTACATAACAATGAATACATGATATAACCAATAGCCGAAGCATATGGAATCTTATATATCCTTTCTTTTTCTTGTGGAGTTGAATAATATATTTCCTTCAAAAGAGAAATGAAATGTCTCATAGGCAAAAATCCTTTCCTGTATTCTTCCATACTGAACCTTTTCAACACTTTCTATATATATGTACTTTGACTCAGACCTAGAAGTCATCTTGATCTATCTCTATAGATCTTAACTCCTAAGATATACGCTGCCTCACCCAGATCTTTTATAGAAAAACAACTACCTAACAAAGTCTTAACAGATTGTAAAGTAGATATATCATTTCCTATGATTAGTATGTCGTCTACATACAAGATTAGGAAAAAAATAATGCTCCCACTAGTCTTCTTATAAAAACAAGGCTCATCTTCATTTCTAATAAAACCAAACTCTTTGATTGCATCATTGAAACGAATATTCCATCTTTGAGAAGCTTGTTTTACTCCATAAATAGACCTCTATAGCTTACAAACCTTTCCAGCATTTCCTGGAATAACAAAACCTTCTGGCTGTGTCATATACACATCCTCTTCAAGTTTTCTATTAAGGAAAGCGGTTTTAACGTCCATTTTCAATATTTCATAATCATGGAATGCAGCTATTGCAAGCATGATCCAAATGGACTTAAACATAACTACAGAGGAGAATGTTTCGTCATAGTCTACACCAAGAACTTTTCGGAAACCTTTAGCTACTAATTGCCTCTTATATGTTTGTACATTACCATCCATGTCGGTTTTCTTCTTGAAAACCTATTTACACCCTATTGATTTGACCCATTCAGGTGGTTCAACCAAAGTTCATAATTGGTTTACTAACATGGAATCCATCTCAGATCTCATTGCTTTAAGCGATTTCTCAGAGTCTGGGCTAGACACTGCCTCTTGATAAGTCTTTGGCTCATCTTGATCAATAAGAAGAACATCTCCATGTGCAGTAACGAGAAATCCAAATCTCTCATATGTACGGCGTTCTCTTGTGGATCTACACAGTGGTTGTGTTTCAAAATCTGTTGAATGCTCCTCAACAACTTGTGAAACATTCTCAACTTTAGGTTCATTGATCTATTTTTTCTTGAACTTCTACAAGTTCAATATTTCTACCCTTCCGTTTCTTTGAGAGAAATTCTCTTTCGAGAAAAACTCATGTTCGAGCAATAAACATTTTTTTCTCTTTAGGGATGAAGAAAGAGTATCCCTTAGTTTCTTTAGCATATCCAACAAATATACACTTATAAGATTTATGTTCGATCTTTGTAGACATATGATGTTTTACATAAGCTTCACAACCCCAAATCTTCATAAAAGACATACTAGGATGCTTCCCAGTCCATATCTCGTATGGTGTCTTTTAAATCGATTTAGATGGAACACGATATAGTGTGAAAGTGGCTATTTCGAGTGCATGTCCTAAAAAAAAAGGTGTTGTTTTAAAAAAACCAAAAATTTTAGGATCCCCGACTATTTTCCCGCTCACTCCACTCAGATTGTTTTAAAAAAACAAAACCAAAAATTAAAATAAAGTATAAAATTTCAAGAATAGAGGGGTACAACACAAGAATTTCCTGAGAGGTTACCCATCCTTGTACTACTATTGCCTAAGCACGCTTGACAACAGAATTCTGATGGGATCCGGTAAATTAGTGCTGGTATGATCGCACCCTTCGTGTCTTGCACCCTTAATTTATTATAACACTTCTCCAAGTAACCATTTTCTTCCGACTAATCCTTAAAATATTTAATTATGTAATCCCCTTATCTTTTCTAGTTCGTTCTTCCCTGTCATTTAAAATAAAACACTATAAATTCATATAAAGTATAAATTTTCGAAAAAAATAGGGATGCAGCATGAGGACTTCAAGGAGGTCACCCATCATAGTACTACTCTAGCTCAAGTAGGCTTCACTATTGAGTTCTAATGGGATCTGGTGCATTTGTACTCCTCTGATCGTACCCTTTAGGTCTTGCGCATTTAATTTATTTAAATGTTTCTCCATGTAAGCATTTTATTCCGAATAACCCTTAAATATTTAGCTTTGCAATCCATGGTTCTTTTCCCCTCGTTCCACCCGACTATTTAAAAAACCAAAAAATTAAAATAAATTATAAAATTTCGAAACAAAGGGTACAACATGAGAACTTCCCCGGAGGTCACCTATCCTAGCGCTACTCTCGCACAAGCAAGCTAGGCTGATGGGATTTATTGCATTAGTTCTGGCATGATCGCAATATTCATGTCTTTCGCCCATAATTTAATTAAATACTTCTCCATGTAACCATTTTCTTCTAAATAATACAAAAAATATTTACTTTTGTGATACTTTGCTATTTTCCCGCTCGTTCCACACAAGCTATTTAAAAAAATACACAAAAAATTAAGATAAAGTATGAAATTTCGAAAAAAAGATGGGTGCAACATGATATTTTTCCAGGAGGTTACCATCCTTGTACTACGATCGCCCAAACACGTTTGGCTACGGAGTTCTGATGGGATTCATTGCATTAGTGCTAGCATGATCGCACCCTCTGTGTCTTTCACCCTTTATTTATTATAATGCTTCTCCAAGTAACCATTTTCTTCCAACTAATCCTTAAAATATTTGATTTTATGATACCTAACTCTTTTCCCGCTCGTTCCACCCATGTTTTTTAAAAAAAAAACATAAAAAATTAAGATAACGTATAAATTTTAAAAAAAAAAGAGGGGTGCAACACGAGCACTTCCCAGAAGGTTACCCATCCTAGTATTACTCTCACCCATGCACGCTTCACTGCAAAGTTCTAATGGGATTTGTTGTATTAGTGCTGGTATGATCGCACCCATCATGTCTTGCACCCTTAATTTATTTAAACTCTTCTCCATGTAACCATTTTCTTCTAACTTATCCTTAAAATATTTAATATTGTGACCCCGACTACTTTCCTACTCGTTCCACCATGACATTTTTAAAAATACCAAAAATTACGATAAAGTGTAAAATTTTGAAAAATAGGGGTGCACCACGAGGACTTTCATGACATTATCTACCATAATTCTACTCTCTCCCAAGTGTAAAATTTAGATCAAGTGTAAAATTTTGAAAAATATTTAGTTTTGTATTCTTGGTTCTTTTTTCGTTCATTCCACCCGGCTCTTAAAAAAATTGGACAAAGTATAAAATTTCGAAAAAAGAGTGGTGCGACACGAGAACTTCACGGGAGGTAACCCTTCCTTCACGGGTGGTCACCCGTCCTTATACAATTAGTGCTAGTATGATTGCCCACATCATGTCTTGCGCCCTTAATTTATTTAAACTCTTCTCTATGTAACCATTTTTCTTCCCACTAATCCGTAAAATATTTAATTTTGTAATCCTCGACTCTTTTCCCTTTCGTTCCTCCCTGACATTTAAAAAAAATACTAGAAATTCAAACAACGTATAAAATTTCAAATAAAATAGGGGTGCAACACAAGGACTTCCACGAGGTCACCTATTATAGTACTATTCTCGCCCAAGTGGGCTTGACTGCGGAGTTCTAATGGGATCTGATGCATTGGTACTCCTTTGATCGCACACTTCAGGTCTTGCACGCTTAATTTATTTAAACGCTTCACCATGTAACCATTTTATTTCGACTAATCCTTACATATTTAATTTTGCAATCCATGGTTCTTTTCCCTCTTGTTCCACTTGACTCTATAAAAATCCCAAAAATTAAGATAAAGTTTAAAATTTTGAAAAAAATGGGTACAACATGAGAACTTCCCTGGATGTCACCCATCCTTGTACCACTCTCGCCCAAGCATGCTTGACTACGGAGTTCTTATGGGATCAGTTGCATTAGTGCTGGGACGATAGCATTTTTCACGTCTTTTCCCTTAATTTATTTGAACACTTTCCCTTGTAACCATTTTGTTAAGACTAATCCATAAAATATTTAATTTTTTATCCCCAACTCTTTTCCCCTTCGTTACACCCCGATTATTTTTTTAAAAAACTACACAAAAAATTAAGATAAAGTATAAAATTTTGAAAAAAAGAGGGGTGCAATAGAAGTACTTCCGAGGAGATTAGCCATTGTAGTACTACTCTTGCCCAAGCACGCTTCACTACGAAGTTTTAATGGGTCATTTGCAATAGTGTTGGTATGATCGCACCCATCATGTCTTGTACCCATAATTTATTTAGACTCCTCTCAATGTAGCCATTTTTCTTATGACTAATGCTTAAAATATTTAATTTTGAGATCCTCGGGGCATTGGTACTCCTTTCATCAGACCTTTCAGGTCTTGCGCGCTTAATTTACTTAAACGCTTCTCCATGTAACTATTTTCTTCCGACTAATCCTTAAATACTTAATTTTGTAATCCCCGGTTCTTTTCCCGCACTTTTTACCTAGCTCTATAAAAAACAAAAATTAAGATAAAGTATTAAATTTCAAAAAAAAAATTAAGGGTCCAACACAAGAACTTCCCGAGATGTCACCTATCCTTGTACCACTCTCGCACAAGCATGCTTGACTACAGAGTTCTTATGGGATCAGTTGCATTAGTGCTGGGATGATAACATTGTTCATATCTTTTTCCCTTAGTTTATTTAAGCGCTTCTCCTTGTAACCATTTTGTTCCGACTAATCCATAAAATATTTAATTTTTTATCCCCAACTAGTTGTCCCTTCGTTCCACCCCGATTATTTTTAAAAAAACTACACAAAAAAAATTAAGATAAAGTATAAAATTTTGAGAAAAAGAGGGGTGCAATAGAAGTACTTTCCAGGAGGTTAGCCATTGTAGTACTACTCTCACCCAAGCCCGCTTCACTATGAAGTTCTAATGGGATCCGTTGCAATAGTGTTGGTATGATCGAACCCATCATGTATTGTACCCATAATTTATTTAGACTCTTCTCTATGTAGCCATTTTTCTTTTGATTAATGCTTAAAATATTTAATTTTGAGATCCCCGGCACTTTTCCTGCTCGTTCCACCATGACATTTAAAAAATTCCAAAAATTCAGATAAAATATAAAATTAAAAAAATTAGGGGTGTAACACGAGGGCTTCCTAGAGGTCACCCATTATAGTACTACTATCACCCAAGTGGGCTTGTGTGCAGAGTTATTTTGGGATCCGGTGCATTGGTACTCCTTTTATCAGACCCTTCAGGTCTTGCGCGCTTAATTTATTTAAACGCTTCTCCATGCAACCATTTTCTTCCGACTAATCCTTAAATATTTAATTTTGGAATCCATGGTTCTTTTCCAGCTCGATCCACCCGACTATTTTAAAAAAATTAAATAGCGGTGTAACACGAGGACTTCATGGAGGTCACCCATAATAGTACTACTCTTTCCCAAGCGGGCTAGATTGTAGTGTTCTAATGGGATATGGTGCATTAGTGATAGTATGTACGCACCCTTCATGTCTTGCGCTCTTAATTTATTTAAACACTTCTCCATAGAACCATTTTCTTCTGACTAATCCTTAAATATTTAATTTAGCAATCCCCTATTCTTTTCCTGCTCATTCCACCTGAATCTTTAAAATAACAAAAAAAAAAAGAAAATATAAAATTTCAAAACAAGGGTGCAACATGAGAATTCCCCCGGAGGTTGCCCATCCTTGTACAACTTTCGCAAAACATTCATGACTATGGAGTTATGATGGAATCCGTTGTATTAGTGCTGGCAATATCGCACCCTTCATGTCAATCGCCCTTAATTTCTTTAAACGATACTCCGTGTAACAATTTTCGTCTATTTAATCCATAAAATATTTAATTTTGTGATTATCGACACTTTTTCCGCTCGTTCCACCCATGCTCTTTGAAAAAAACAAAACTAAAAATTAAGATAAATTATAAAATTTTTACTAATCCTTAAAATATTTAATTTTATGATACCTGAGTCTTTTCCCGCTCGTTCCACCATTACATTTAAAAAAATCCAGAAATTCAGATAAAGTATAAAATTAAAAAAATTAGGGGTGCAACACGAGGACTTCCTGGAGGTCACCCATCATAGTACTACTATCGCCCAAGAGGGCTTGTCTGCGAAGTTCTTTTGGGATTTGGTGCATTGGTACTCCTTTTATCGCACCCTTCAGGTCTTGCGAGCTTAATTTAATTAAATGATTCTCCATGTAACCATTTTATTGCAACTAATCCTTAAATATTTAATTTTTGAATCCATGGTTCTTTTCCCGCTCGATCCACTGGACTATTTAAAAAAACAAAAAATTAAGATAAAGTATAAAATTTCAATAAAAGAGGGGTGCAACATAAGAACTTCCCCGGAGGTTACCCATCCTCATACCACTCTCGCCCAAAAATGCTTGACTACGAAGTTCTAATGGGATCAATTGCATTGTTGCTGACATGATAGCATTGTTAATGTCTTTTTCCCTTTATTTATTTTAAAACTTCTCCTAGTAACCATTTTCTTCCAACTAACCCATAAAATATTTAATTTAACAATCCTCGACTCTTTTCCCACTCGTTCCACCCAGTTTATTTTAAAAAAACACTAAAATTATGATAAAGTATAAAATTTCAAAAAAAAGGTGCAACACGAGAATTTCCTGAGAGGTCACCCATTCTTGTACTAATCTCACTCAAGCACGCTTCACTATAGACTTTTGATGTGGTTTGTTGCATTACTATTTCCATGATCTCACCGTTCATGTCTTTCGTTCTTCGTTCCAACTCGACTCTTTTTTACAAAAAAAAACAAAACCATAGCAAAAAATTAAGATAAAGTATAATGTTTTTTAAAAAAGGTATAACATGAGTACTTTCCAGGAGGTTACCCAACCTAGTACTACTCTCGCCCAAGCACGCTTCACTGGGAAGTTCTTATGGGATCTGTTGTAGTAGTGCTGATATGATCTCACCCATCATGTCTTGCTCCCTTAATTTATTTAAACTCTTCTCCCTATAACATTTTCTTCCAACTAATCCTTAAAATATTTAATTTTGTGATCCCCGACTCTTTTCCTACTCGTTCTGCCTTGACTGGTATAAAAAATAGCAACAACAAAATTTAAGACAAAGTATAAAATATTGAAAAAAGAGGGGGGCAACACGAGGACTTCCAAGGAGCTCACCCATCTGTTGAATTAGTGTTGGTATGATCGCCCCCATCATGTCTTGCGCCCTTAATTTATTTAAATGCTTGTCCATGTAACCATTTTCTTGTGACTAATCCTTAAAATATTTAATTTTGTGATTTCTGACTTTTCCCGCTTGTTCCTATCTGACATATAAAAAATACCAAAAATTCAGATAAAGTATAAAATTTTGAAAACATAGTGGTACAACACGAGGACTTCAGGGAGGTCACCCATCATAGTACTACTCTTCCCCAAGTGGGCTAAAATACAGAGTTGTAATGGGATCGGGTGCATTAGTGATGGTATGATCGCACCCTTCATGTCTTGCACCCTTAATTTATTTAAACGCTTCTGCATGGAACCATTTTCTTCTGACTAATCCTTAAATATTTAATTTAGCAATCCACGATTCTTTTCTTGCTCGTTCCACCCGATCTTAAAAAACACAAAAAATAAAGATAAAGTTCTTGACTATGAAGTTATGATGGGATCCGTTTCATTAGTGTTGGCATGATCGAACCCTTCATATCAATCGCCCTTAATTTATTTAAACGCTTATCCATGTAACCGTTTTCTTTTATTTGATCCTTAAAATATTTAATTTTGTGATCCCCAACCTTTTTCTCTTCTTCCACCCAGGCTCTTTTGGAAAAAACCAAAACCAAATATTAAGATAAATTATAAAATTTTGACAAATCCTTAAAATATTTAATTTTGTGATCCCCAACTCTTT